GGAGTACATCGACACCGATCTCGGACCACCCGTCCTCCGCAAATTGTTCTTCGACATGCCTAACTTGCGGGCGTTGGACTTTTGTGGCTGCTCATCCACAGTGTTCAAGAACTCTTTCAATGCAATTCTTGAAAACTCTTGGCCTGATGAGCTCTTTATTACTAGGCTTTCCTTTCACAAGTGCCTCGGTCTCCCATCGACAGTCTTCGAAACCATTCTGCCTCGACTGGGCAAACTGACCCATCTGGATGTAGCCGGCACACGCATTACCGACGAGGCCCTGGAAAGGATCCCTGTAACTGCGGAACTGACGCACCTAAACCTTGCTAAGTGCAAGGAGCTGTCCGCTGATTGCGTGGTCAAATTCGTTACGTCTCATGCTTCCACCAAAGACTCGCTTGTCTTCTTGAGCTTGGCTACCGATCCGACCAATCACCTGCTGCTTGGTAAGGACGATATCGATGGTCTTCTTCCGCGGTTGCCCAAGACGCTCAAGTCTCTTAGCTTGCGTGGCAGCAGAATGCACGCCTCTCACATCCCTGAACTCACCCGCCTCGCTCAGACACTCGAGGAGCTTGCCGTCGGTCGTGGTTTGGAGATGAGTGACATTCACAAGTTGTTCTGCCATGGTCAGGAATGGCTCCAGCATAATCTGAGATTCCTCGATATTTGCGACATTGAGACGATTATTGGCAGTGCGAGCACCTTGCTCGCGCCTGCCTCCGCTCCGCTCCACGTTATTGAGATCGCGGAGCGAGCTTACGAACGCGCTGCCAAGGTCAACAAGAACCTTCAGCGAGTTGGCTGGGTTGCCAAGGAGTTTGGTAGCCGCTACTGGTTGGTGCGCATGAATGCGGATGGCTCTACGCGAGACAATGGTGGGCGATGGTGGAAGATGGGTGCGGAAAGCTGGGGTATGAGGAAGGTTCCCGTCGCAATAGCAGAAGTGGGTGGAATGTATGGCTCATTTATGTTCGGGCGACGGGTTTAATGGCTTCGCTTGCAACGGCCCGACAACTACGACTTTGATTTTTCTTTTTCATCATCAGCATCGCAAAGGCATATCGCATCTCAACTCGGAATTTTGTACGTTTGGCGTTTTGGGGATTGTTTAAAGGCATGAAAACGGCATACCCATCGATGAACAAAACGCATACTGGGACTCGATACCAATTTGTTTCAACTATTCCGGCGAGCATGAAGGAAAGGGGCATTTGGTTCATGAATGGCGTGCATGCGAAAATAAGTTTTCTTGTCTTTTTAGGAATATTGCTTTTCGAGACTAGTAAAATATGTAAAGGGAAATGAAAATCCAATTAAACGATATTTCACTACAATATTTGAAAAATACAAAAAAAAAAAAAAAGAAGGGGGGGGGGGACTTGAGTAGTGACTAGTAGTGCATGTTTGTATTGCCGTCACATCCTAGGAGAATCACGAGATCATTCTTCGTTAGGCATAATTTACGCCTGCATAACTACCGCGCTTAACTTGAGCAATGATTATGGTTTTATTCAAGGCATTTATATTATTGATCGCTTCTTTAATAACAAAGAAGAAGGCTTGCCTCATCGCACTGTGATTTGATGCGTAGCCCAATTTCCCCTCTGGAACTCTGTACCTGCCTTGAAAGGCCGTCGCGGCGCCACCGGCCGCACGTGACTTCAAACGGAACAACGGCTTACCCGCCCGAGGCCAGCTTCATACGCGATAACGAACTCCAGGCTTCCCTTTAGGAGAGACCACAGGCTTCAAGACAACCTGCAACGAGTCTTCGGTGCTTGAAGTCATCATCATGGCTCCCAAACAGGACACGCCCTTCCGCTCGGCGGATATGAGTATGGTGCAGTTGTATGTCTCCAACGAAATCGGTCGGGAGGTCGTCACTGCCCTTGGTGAGCTTGGATTGTGCCAGTTCCGAGATGTAAGGCTTCAACGCACACGCACACATACTCTCTCTGACCCCATCATAAACGGACTATCTCTCAAAGCTTGGAGCATTACCTAACTTTCCTTAAATCATATAGCTCAACGAGGATGTGAGCGCCTTCCAGCGAACCTTTACGCAAGAGATCCGACGCCTTGACAATGTGGAACGACAGCTGCGTACGTCATTGTGAGACTGAAACCCATCAGTCGGACGCAAGTTTCTAACGAGACACAGGGTATTTTCATGCTCAGATGGAGAAAGCCGGGATTTCTCTTCGCAAGCTCGATTTGGACACGGAAAGACTAGCCTCTCCGTCCACATCTGAAATTGACGAACTCGCAGAGCGAAGCCAGAAGCTTGAACAACGAATTTTTGCTTTGAACGACAGCTACGAGACTCTGAAAAAGCGAGAAGGCGACCTCACCGAATGGAGGTGGGTTTTGCGAGAGGCTGGGAGCTTCTTTGATCGCGCCCACGGCAACGTCGAGGAGATTCGCGCCTCAATGGACAACGATGATGCTCCACTTCTTCAGGACATTGAGCAGCACCACGGTGCCCCTGAGGTTGAGCGATCATTTTCCGGCATGAACATTGGATTCGTGGCTGGCGTCATTACTAGAGAGCGTGTTGCGGCCTTTGAGCGTATTCTTTGGCGAACACTTCGTGGTAACTTGTACATGAACCAGTCCGAGATCCCTGAGCCACTCATCGACCCTACCAACAACGAATCTATCAACAAGAATGTCTTTGTCATCTTCGCCCATGGCAAGGAGATTCTGGCCAAGATTCGAAAGATCTCCGAATCTATGGGCGCTGAGGTCTACAGCGTTGACGAGAACAGCGATCTTCGACGCGACCAAATCCATGAAGTTAACAACCGATTGCAGGATGTCCAGAACGTTCTGCGAAACACTCAGGCCACGCTGGAAGCCGAGTTGAACCAAATCTCTCAGTCTCTTTCTGCGTGGATGATTCTCATTGCGAAGGAGAAGGCGGTCTACAGTACTCTGAACCTGTTTTCTTACGACCGTGCCCGCCGAACCTTGATTGCTGAGGCTTGGTGTCCCACCAATGACATGCCCTTGATTCGATCAACTCTTCAGGATGTCACCAACAGAGCTGGCCTCTCAGTTCCCTCTATCATCAATGAGATTCGGACAAACAAGACGCCTCCAACCTATCTGAAGACGAACAAGTTTACTGAGGGATTCCAGACCATTGTTAACGCCTATGGTACTGCCACTTATCAGGAAGTCAACCCGGCCATGCCGGTCTTCGTTACATTTCCTTTCCTCTTTGCCGTCATGTTTGGTGATTTTGGCCACGCCATGATCATGTTGTCAGCGGCTCTTGCCATGATTTACTGGGAAAAGTCGCTTAAAAAGGTGACGTTTGAGCTCTTTGCCATGGTCTTTTACGGCCGATACATTGCCTTGGTCATGGCTGTGTTCTCCATTTTCACCGGTCTGATCTACAACGACGTGTTTTCAAAGTCTATGACCCTCTTCCCCAGCGCCTGGAAGTATGAGAAACCCGATGGCTGGCAACCTGGCCAGACTATCGAAGCGAAGCTAAACGACGACGGCTACCGATATCCCTTTGGTCTTGACTGGGCTTGGCATAACACAGAGAACACTCTACTCTTCAGCAACAGCTACAAAATGAAGATGAGCATCATTCTCGGCTGGGCTCACATGACTTACTCGCTCTGTTTCTCTTTCATCAATGCCAAGCATTTCAAAAAGCCCATCGACATTTGGGGTAACTTTATTCCCGGCATGATTTTCTTCCAGTCCATCTTTGGTTATCTGGTCGTATGCATCATTTACAAGTGGACCGTCGATTGGACCAACGATGACCCGAACATTGGTGGGCAGCCACCCGGCCTCTTGAACATGCTCATTTACATGTTCCTCCAGCCTGGGAAATTGGACATTCCACTCTACAAAGGTCAAGCCACTGTCCAGGTCATCCTCCTGCTTCTTGCCTTTGTTCAGGTCCCCGTTCTCCTCTTCCTCAAGCCATTCTACCTCCGCTGGGAGCACAACAGGGCGCGCGCCAAGGGCTATCGCGGTATTGGCGAGACGTCCCGCGTTAGTGCATTGGATGGCGATGATGAGAACGATGGTCTGGTCAACGGCCACGGCAATAGCTTTGATGACGATGGCGAAGGCGTTGCTATGATCTCGCAGAACATTAACGAAGAGCACGAGGAGTTTGAATTTGGTGAAGTCATGATTCATCAAGTTATTCACACTATTGGTATGTTGTGCTCTTGTATACATGGCATGGTCTCTATTAAACTGACTGACTGGTGTGTAGAATTTTGCTTAAACTGCGTGTCTCACACGGCCTCGTACCTCCGTCTGTGGGCTCTATCACTCGCCCACCAGCAGCTCAGCATTGTGCTCTGGGACATGACGCTCGGTCCTACCCTCAAGATGTCTGGCGCCCTTGGTGTGATTATGATTGTTGCTGGTTTCTACCTCTGGTTCTTCCTCAGTAAGCCTTGCTCTAGTTGCTGTACATTGGGACACGCCGCTAACAAAATCGGCAGCAATTGCTATTTTGGTCTGTATGGAAGGCACCAGTGCCATGTTGCACTCCCTCCGACTGGCATGGGTCGAGTCCTTTTCCAAGTTTGCCGAGTTTGCAGGATGGCCGTTTGCGCCGTTTTCATTCAATACGCTGTTGGAAGAGACGGAGGAACTGAAAGAGTTTTTGGGATGAGGGCAGCATTCTTGCTCGTCGCTATTTTTCATCTTTTCCCCTTTTTGTTTTGTAGACCTAGGTAGCCCTGTATAACAAGAAATACATCCTAGATTATTATTCGAGTTTCCAATCATCCTAGCCATGATGGTACACAAATTTTGCCATCGCCAGGCGCAACGTCCACCTTCTCAGTCCTTGCCCAGGTTGCGGCGTCATGCCCAACAGATGACTGCCACTGTGTGGATCCACTGCACGGAGGAAAGGCACCGGCTTTATCACTTGGATATTTCTACTCTGCCTACCACTTGATCTTGTACATTCCCATGGCGCCTTGTAGGAAAGAGAAAAAAGAAAGGAATTATCCCCAAAGCGGCGCCGAGACTTCCACGCCCCGTTCCACCACGGCTCTCACTCGGTCTGCAAACACCTTATTCGTACACTCCACCTCCAGGTCTTCCAGCCACACCGTCGCCAGCATCTTGTCCACCTTGATCGACACGCCGGGCACGGGAATACCAATCTTGTGCAAGCGCTCAAGTTCCTTCCTTTTACGCTCTTCCACGTCTGTGCTCGCGCCATCCACGTCCATGGACTCGTCTTGGGATTCCGATTCGGGGAGGCGGGGTGTTTCGACGGGCGATACGTTGTCCGCGCCGAACTGGGCCTCGAGGAACCAGAATAGCCGTTCGAGGCGATCTTCCGCCGAGGGGTGGGCGTGGGGGTTTGTCCCGTTGGTCACGAGCTCGTGGGAGTGGGAGTGCTGTTTTGAGGAGCGCTTGACGGCGGCGGGGGAGGACTCGACGCTGAACAGGACGGCCATGACGGAGTCGGCGATGCCGTCGTTGAGCATGTTGCCCTCCCACTCGAGCTCGACCTCGCCGTTGTTGCGGTACCGGACTGTCACGCAGCCCATGACGAGGTATGCTGCCACTAGGGCGGCGACTTCTTCATCCGCCGGTTCTTCGGGCTTGTACTCCTCCTCCTCCTCGTCCTCGGCTGCTTCTGAGACGGAGCCGTTCTTGACGCCGTTGCCATTGGCCGTCTGGGCCCGCCGCATTTCGGGTAGTTCTTCGACGGTGCCGAATGTGCCCTCTAGCGCCCACTTGATGAGGTCGATGCCGGCGGCGCTGAGGGTGAGGCGCTGCTTGCAGGTGATGGTGGTTGTGTTGAGGCCTGCGTATTCACGGAGGTCTTCGGGCGCCATGAGGGAGAGCTTGAAGTCGTTTTGGACAAGGACTCCTGTTACGAGGGGCGCGGAGGCGCTGTCGACATTGACGTCTTGGGGGGGCGGGATAGAAGCGAGTTTGCCGACGACCTTGGCCATTTTATCGCCTTTGAAGGGGATACGCAGTTCTTCGCAGTTCCGGGGGGAGTAGACTTTTACTTTGGTGGTTTTGGAGGCGTTGAGGGAGAGGAGTTTGGATTTGAGACGCATCATGTTATGTTGTTCGCCATGGACAAGGATCTATGTGAATTTTTTTTTCTCGTTAATATTGGGAGGGCTGTCTGTGCCTGCATGCGGCGAGATGGGACAAGATGGGAGGGGAAACGTACGACGACCGGTGCGGCTACTTCCTCGATGAACTCTCGGTTCTCAACGCCATCAACGTGTGCAGCGAACGAGTATTCTGCAACGCTGCATCGTCGGGGAATGAGCACCCTCTCCGACTCTCCGCCTGGGGCTCTTCGTCCTGCGGCGAGGTTACGAGACATGACTGCTGGGATTTGGTCCGGTTCCTGCATGATTTGCCGGGCCATTGTGCCCTCGACGCTATAACCTGTGATGATGACGCCATTTTTCTCGCTGGGCGCCCATCTTTCAAAGAGCTCTCTGCTAACACCGCTTTGAAGCATACCAGGACTGGCGAGCATAACGCAGCCGCCGACGTCGTCAAAACGGTCCAGGTTCTTGAGCGATCGGATGTACTTGAAATCCCACGGTCCTCCTTGGCCAGCACCATCTCCGCTGGCTTCGGCTTCAGCCATGCGCTCTCGGAAAAGGCGCTTGATGTTATCGTTCATGGCGCCGACATATGTTTGATAGACAACCATGCATTTTCTGGCGAGATTACTCGCATAGTAGATGGGGTATTTTTGGAACTCGGGGTGCTTTCCCCAGTATTCGTCCAAAATGAGGAGGAGTTCTTGTGCTCTCCCAAGCGCAAAGACGGGCAGTAGCGCGCGGCCGCCTCTATTTAGAATGCCAGTGATGGACTTCATCAGGGCTTGCTCGCGCTCCAGCCGGGGAACGTGGGAGGCGATGCCATACGTCGATTCTGTGATGAGGACATCAATTTTGACGTCCTTGGGTACTTCAGCAGAGACCAAATGCCGATCTTGCTCGCGGGAGTAGTCTCCGGTAAAGAAGATGTTGAGCCCAGCAATCTCGATGAGGAACATGGCCGCCCCCAACACATGGCCAGCAGGGTATGGAGTGATTCGGATGGAAGAGATGGTGTGAGTGGTGTGGTAGTCGATGGCTTCTATTTGAGAAAAGGTATTCAAGTGATCTTGCTCCGTGTATACTGGCTGCGTTGTGGAATTTGAAGACGTATTGCCGACTCGGACGCTGTCTTGAATAAGCCATTTGTAGATGGCTTTGGTCGGATGCGTCATGAAGACACGGCCGCGGAAATTAGTCTTGGCGAGGACATAAGGTAATGAGGCAGCATGGTCGACATGGAAACTGTTGCGGGCGTATCATTAGCTTGTGAACAAATTCTGTTGAGTGCAGGCGGTACTTTGAGCTTGGCCAACGATGGGGATGATCACGAGCAGGGAGCAAACAGAGGCGGAGGGTAAAATGGCATAATGTATTCATTTTATACGGTACACAGGCGTATAGTATCATGACAAGTACAATGTTTCTTGATTTGGAAAAAAAGAAAAAAAAATAGAAGGCAACATGTCCGCCCATTGCATATTGAATACCAAGCTCGTGTCTTATCATAGCCAAAACCGCATTGGCGGGCGTCAAGGTCAAGGGCGTGAGAACTTACTGGCTAATGAGAAGTACATCTACGGTGCTGAGATCGAAATCGTCGTAGAATGGGAGGGCTGCAAGACCGTCGTACGCAGGGTGTTGCCCAGCGTCGAGCTGTAGGAGAAAAAGAGGTCAGCTTCGCCGTGTAGCAATGCGACAACAAACTATTTACCATGACGGTTTTGCCCTTGTATTGAATAATATGGCACGATCGACCGACTTCGTTGCCGCCACCTAGACAGAGAAACATGAGTTCATCGGAAGGGTCAACGGGCTCCTCGGCCGCAGCCGCAGCCGCATTCATTGCCGACGCTTTTCGTTTTGAAGCCATGGTAGCGACGGGCGGGCGGGCGTTGAGTCTCGGGTCGTTTTCACATGGGCGACGGCAGGTCTCTTCCTGAACAATTACTAGCGCACAAGTGTGAATATCACATCCGCGCAATTCGACGGAGCGGCTACGCACGTAGCGTCTTTCATGACACCGACAATGTCGAGATGGCGGAAGCGCAAGGCAGTAGCGATGAGCTTGGTGTTGTTGAAGCTGCTGGGTCCGGAAAAACATCGGCCATGACAAGGTCGACCTCCACAGGCAGTCCAGTCCAAGCAGCAACGCGCAGCCTCTGGAGTCGAGAGGCGTGGGACGCGCCAACGCAGGAGGCTGCATCACGTGACTTTAAATTTACGCAGCCCCCGATCTCCCGTTGAAGCTGCCTTCTCTCGACTCTGGCCAGCACCGCAACCGATAAACCTCGCTCCCACGACCCTACCGATCTCGCCTCCGCGCGCAACATCGCGCCAGCCCTCAGTAATTGTTATTTGCACCCTGGAACGATTGATACACCGCTCTGGATCGCCTGGCGGGTTCTGCGCGTCGGATGGGAGGATCCACGACTGTTGTGGCAGGCTTCCGTGCCTGCTGAGAGCATCAACCCCCTCGCCTTGCAGGGCCGTGTCTTCGCCGCCTGTCTCTGTCGCCGTGCTTCAAGGCTCGGCGGCTGATCACTCGCCATGGCTCAACCTCAGTCGCAGGTCCCCCCGCGGGCCTTTTCGCCGCCGCAACACAGTCCTTCGCCAGCCGGCTCACAGCCGGGTTTCGCGTTGCCACCGAACAAGAGGGTTAGAACCGATGGTGGCCCAGCTTCGCAGCCAGGCTCCCCGTATGCCATTTCGCCTTATGCTGCTAGTCCAGGCGCTGCAGGAAGTCCGCCTCTGAATGCTGCGTCGCCGACATTTTCGCAATCAACACCCATGTCTTCTGGGTACAACACTCCTTATACAAACGGCCACACTGCACCAGCCTTGAATCTTCCTGACGCACGTGCGGGCGCCAGCACGCCTCCCTTGAATACACCGCACCCTCCGCCTCCACCGATATCGATCCCCCAGTACACAAACGCAGCAATGGCGCCGATGCCGCAAGCCATGGCATCGCCGGCGCCACTGCCCAATGTCATGGGGCCTCCCCAACGACCGGCCGAGAGACCGACCAAGGATTACGAGTATGATGTCACAGATTCGCTGGCGGGCACTGGTATCGATTTGCGGGCAGAAGAGCAGTACATGTCTGAGCTGTACTCGAATGTCATGGATGCAAATTCGGAAGCCAGGACCGGGTTTGCTCAGCATCCGGCCGGAGGCAAATCTTTATTCTACGGAGCTGGTCCGGCGAACCAAGCGCCCGAAACTACGTCGGAACAAAACCAGAAGCAGCTCGCTGCAAAGGCGGCTGAACAGGCTTGGGCCGACTCATCCATGCGGCTCGCCGTTCAGCGAACGCAAGAGATTAATGACCCTTTCCTCTTGGTTGCCATTCTTCATCGCAGGGCGGAAAAGATTGCAAAAGAGAACCATATTAGTCTCAATCTAGACATGAAGAACAACGCACAAACAATGGGCAAGATGCGCCTTCCTGAACAGTTTCCGACCCCCAAAGTCACAGTCAAGGTCGAACCCGGTCCCGACTCAACAATGGTACATACTACTGGATCGTACATCCCTCACGACTCGTATCTCGTGGATCAGCTAGCTTTGATGTCTATTGCCACAAAGCAACGGCTACGCGAGATGGTTGAAGATGCGGGCGTTGTTGCCACCAATAGGCAGAAGACGTCACATGGAGAAATTCCCGAGGAATGGACGGCCGCGGCGGCGCCCATGAATGCGGAAACCCTAGGTGCAGCAGAGCCTACATCAACAACAGAAGAGGGCGAGGATGGTGTTGCAGTTCCGTCCGACACTGCACCCTTAAAACGTGAGAATTCGTGTAGTCCCCTTGTTTATTTCTTGTATTTATTGAGCTTACGACTGATTTATGGCAGGCTCCGCCGACGGTGCTGGGTTGGGAAATGGCGCCAAGCCGCCAAAGAAGTTGTCCAAGATATCGTCATTTATGACGTTGACGATGAGAGAGCTGGCGAGGCAAGAACGCGAGTGGGAAGAAGCCCGTTTACGCCGACGGCAAAAACGCAAGGACGGGGTAGGAGACGCCGCAACCCCCTCACGGTCTGGTAGTATGGCACCGGGAACACCAGGATCGGTAGCGCCCGAATCAGATAAGCCAATGACGAAGAAGGAAATGAAGAAGAGCCAAGCACTCAAAGCAGCAGAGGCAAACAGCCACGCAAACCAAAACTTGACCAGCAGCATGTTTGCAGGGCTGGGCGGCAAGAGCAGTCTGTTTGGCAAGAAGAAGGGAGCCAAGACATACGACTGGATGAACGTAGGTCGTGGAGGAAGCGGCGCAAGCACGCCGACAAAGGCAGCAGCCGGGGGTGGCAAGGGAATCAACGGCACGCCCGGAGCGATATCAGCGGCAAACGTGGCCATGACAACAGAGGGGCGAAACCGATTGGGCACATGGCGAGAGGACAAGGAAAAGGGAAAGAATATCCAACTACGAGATTGGGTGGTGGTGTTGGAGAGGGACGGACGAGAGTCCAAGGCCCTGCAACAAGCATATATCCACTTGGATGCCTCCAATCCGAAGTAATGGAGCAAAGGGGAACGGGACGATGGCTAGAAAAGGGCTGCAAAATGATTTCTGTGATGGTCATCCGGGCTTTTTGACAGATACCCAGCGCCGTGTATGATTGTCTCGATTTTTGAGTGTGACTTTTTTTTTTTTTTCCTTGTGGCGTCTCGTTGATTTTCTTGTCAGCCCGGCGTTTTTACATGCAAAAGGCGTAGGAAAGGTTGGTTTGGGTTGGGGGCTCCCGGCGTCTTGTTATCTAGTTTGCGGGCAAAGAATTGGTAGCATCGCAATAGATGCGTATTAATGACATTGCGGCCCACGGGTGATGTGAAGGTGGTCTTTGTCAGCAGCGGCATCTGGGGTTGTGAGTCTTGTGACATCAGGCGGCATGGTGGATCTGTTGTCGGATCCATGTCTGGTCGCATCTGGACCTCACATAACCCATCAACCACATGTCACCTCGCCTTGCGCAGCGACCACGACGCCATGGCGATTGCAGTTTGTGATGCCGCACACCCCCTTGTGTTGTCTCTGTCTGACCAAGTCCCAGGCAGTCGGGCAGATCTGTTCCACGGCGTCGATGAAGGCCAACCTCGACCAGTGTGTGAGACTGGTTTCCAAAGCAGCCATCGGCGGAGCAAAGGTACGTCAAGGGGACGGACAAGACGGAGACGCGGCACCGAGCGAGGGTGGAGAGTGAGACGTCGTGTCAAGATTGATAAGGCCAATGCTGCTATGTATGCGTCGTACAGATGCTGCGCTTCTCGGGTGAGACATCTGCAGGGCGGACTGTCTCGAGGAAAAAGACGATGGCCACGACCACGACCACGACCACGGTTCCTCTCTGGTGTTGGCGTAAAACACACAGTCACTCACCACATCGCCAGGTCCTCTTCCTCCCCGAAGCATCAGACTACATCGCGCACAATGCACAAGAGTCCCTCGCCCTCGCGCAGCCGCAGTCCACGTCTCCGTTTTTCCAGGGCCTCTGCGCCGCCGCCAAGTCGCACTCGGTGGCCATCCACGTCGGCGTCCACGAGCCGCTCCCGCAGCAGCCCACGTCCAAGCTGCTCAACCGCGCGCTCTACATCTCGCCCGCGGGGGACGTGGTCGACGCGGCGTCGTACGACAAGCTCCACGTCTTTGACTACGCCAGCCTCAGGGAAAGCGACACGGTGCAGCCGGGATCCGGGCTCACGGCCCCGTTTGACTCGCCCGTGGGCCGCATCGGCAGCCTCATCTGCTTTGATGTGCGGTTCGCCGAGCCGGCCGTCGCCCTGGCGCAGCCGGGGCCCGGGAGCCCGTGGTGCCGGCGGCCGGCGCAGGTCCTCACGTATCCCAGCGCGTTTACGCTGCGCACGGGACGGGCGCACTGGGAGGCGCTGCTGCGCGGCAGGGCGATAGAGACGCAGAGTTGGGTTGTGGCCGCGGCCCAGGTTGGGAGACACAATGACAAGAGGGCCAGTTACGGGCGCAGCTTGGTCGTTGACCCGTGGGGGGAGGTCAGGCTGAGGCTGGGAGGGACCCGAAACGACGAGGGCGAGGCCGAGGATGGCGCCGTCGAGGAGATTGGCTTTGTGGATATGGATATGGCGCTTTGGGAGACTGTTCGGCGGGAGATGCCGCTGAAGAGGAGGTGAGTCTTGACCATGACGGCGGTGTTGAAGTTGCTAAATCGTTGACCGGCAGGGAGCATGCATATCCGGAGTTGTGAGTCTTTGGGTGTAGCTACGAATGATGAAGACATGATTCCTCCCTTTTTCTTGCAGTCATCACGACGGACGCCCTGTTCAGATTCCCTACCGTCTGTTGCAATGCTGCCAACCTTTGTCGTGAATACTCCCTCTACCCGAGCAGTCAGGCACGGGCATACAAGACGTCGACCAACGACGAGTACGGAGTATGTATGTACGTTCATCCCACGATGCTAATAAAACTAGGCAACGCGACCAACACGTAGTAATGACGGTTGCGGCGGTCCGCTAGGCCGCACCGCCCAACACCATCATCGCCACGACGCACAGATGCCACCAGGCAAAGAGCCTTGCTTCTTCCGTCGTTGTTGTGTATCAGGACAAGACCAACCGTTTAAACTATGTATGTGTCCAACCCGGCATGTAACAGGCAGGCATGCGATCATGGGACAAGCAACAACAACCACCCTGCGGACATACAGCACTAGTACTAGTCAACTTAACATCCATTCACATTCTCCGTCTAGCCCAAGAAGCCAGTTTAGCTCTCTACTAGTGAGCACAGCCTGGGCAGCAACCCGGCGGTCCAAACGGGCACCAACAATTCTGACCTGTCAACTTACACGGCTGCTCCGTGTCCTCGCATGAAGCAACCACCAAAACACC